AGACAGTATATATATATATATATATAAAACAGCTATTTTTTTTTTTATTGTTACTGTGTTTTTTTGGTTTTTTTTTAAATGATGAAAAACATCAAGTTACTAGATGCGTTTTCATTTTTTGTTGTCATTAAAAATCAGGGTACACATTTTTAAAATTAAAAAATTTCTATGCTCAAGTCATCGTTTGTATTTTTAACTACTTCAAAATCAACAAGTTAAATTCAAAATTATTTTTTTTTATTTTTTTTTCGTCATTTTTAGGGAACAACACATCTGAAGCATTATAAGATTTACTTCTCTGTTTTCCTATTTTTACAGGTGTGGGATACGGGCTAGTATTTCATCCTTCAATAGTAATGACGGCTTACTACTTCAAGGAACGTTACGGACTCGCAAATGGCTTCGTGTTTGCCGGCAGTGGAGTTGGTTGGATACTTTTACCTCTGTTGGAACGCTTTTTAATTGATCAGTACTCCTGGAAAGGAATGTTTCTAATACTAGGAGGAATTACGTTGAACATTTGTGTGATTTCGCGTCTAATGCGCCCCATCGTGGTAAAGGCACAAGACGACAAGCATAATTTGGAAATTGAAAAAAGTGACGGTGAAGCAAACAAAAATCTTTATAAAAACGATATTGATAATGATGATAATGATCTTGTAGAAGAAACTAGCTTCACATACGCTGATCAAAGAGTAGATGCTCACAGTAAAAAAGCTGGTTGTCGTTGGGTAATGATTAAATGCATCAAACATTCATCATTATGGTACATGTTTAGTGACATTCGTAGAACTATTATTATTGTTGTAGTTGGCCTCATGGGCATGGGAAATTATGCAGTTGTTAGCCACCTTCCCTATCGGGCAACTGTGTCAGGAGTGTCGAAGGAGAATACAGCATACTTGATATCCGCAATGGGTTTTGGAAGCCTGGTCGCAAGAATACTTCAAGGATGGTTGACTGACAAGAAGTATGTATCTGTACGGACGTTATTCATTATATCTCTGTTGGTCACTGGCATATACAGCGTTCTCAGCACTCTATCAAACTCTTTTGCTTGGCTGCTAACGTTCGCGATTATATTTGGAGTAGGCAATGGCATCTTCAATCCAATCCTTGTTGTATATATCCGTGAACTTGTTGACACAAAGTTGTCTACTGCCCTTGCTGTTGCTTACGCTGCACTTGGATTAACAAGTGTTTTTGCTGGGGTCTTTACAGGTAAGGCAAATGATATTTCATTTAAAGCCAAGCACTTGCTGTGTCGAGGGTAGTCGGCCGACACGGTTGTATGGCAACTTATTTTTTTAAATGACAATTAAACTGCCACCAAAGATCTCATAATAACAAGATAGAATTCTCTTCTGCATTCAAGTTCTGTAACAACGCAGTGTAGGATGCCCTCCAACAATTACAATTACTTTTGAACTTTGACATCTATAATCTACGTGCAAATTCTGGAACAACCGCCATAGTAACAAATAGGACACCCTCTCTCAATTACAATTACTTTTTATGCTTCATTTTTACTGAACATGGACACTTCTATTTGTTACGCATAAAATGGCGAAGAACGTTATCTTGTTATTATAAGATCTTTGACTGCCACCGACATTCAGCCGATGGCATTGTGTCGTCGAGCACTCTTATGACGCACGGAGTGCCCAGTTTTAAACTGTGGTCATAATTTTGGAATACCGAAAATAGAATATTTGTTTGATTATTTCGTCCCTCTGATGGTATGATAAAGGACCCTTAACATCCTTTTTAGCAAATGCAGGTGTCCCTAGTTGGAAGAAGATACTTTCGGGAGATCTGGATGAGCTTTCTTAAATCTACAGTACCTTTGTTTTGCTGTGCATGGTGATACTCATCACCAGCTGACATCCAAGAGATGTCATAATTCAATAGTACAGTATACAAATAATGCATGTTTTTGAGTACAATATTTTACCCCATTGTATGAATGAGAAACATTCATTATTTGTTTTATACAACACCTCCTTTATACATTGCCTGCATGCTTTTCTTTGAATACATTCAAGGACCAATCATTCTTTCCAAGGCAAGCATAAAACCGGCCTAGGCATAGGAATCAATCAAGTTCAGCTAGTAAAATAGACTCATCCTCACCACTTGCAAAATACTTCATACGGTTAATCGCATATTTTATTTCCCGTTTTGTTGATTCGCATCACTTTCAGTAATTCCTCCAAACCTGCTTCGCTCAATTGTACAAATGGCCCAGTACCAAAATGACCTGCCATTTTATCTGTGGAGGGAGGGTACTAAATGCCATTGACTCCTTGTTGACACACCTGGGTAACGTTGTCACAGTTGGCCTGGGCGCACAAGGATAATTTTCCTCGCTCGCATTGCATTTTAGATTTTTGCCGTCTTGGAGGTGAAAAAGTATTCAATGATCGTTGACTAGTAGTACTCAAATAACCATGGAATAGTCTTTTAAATCAATCTCGTGTGACCTATTTTCAACCAGTCAATATATACAGGTGCTGTAAAATATCAAACGTGAAATATAATGAATTTACAGGAGGTAGGTTAGTTCCAGTGAAGTTTTTGCTTACTTGCAAGAGTGCGGGAGGATTTCTTGAATTTCGAGAGATTCCTGCAACTTGAGATCTGTGACCCCCAGCAATATGGGATTTCGAGGTGCTGACTATAATTAATTTATGATCTCACTACTAAGGACATTTTAATACTATAGTCTTCCAAAATACAATGGCTACAATACAGTAATTTCCTTTTTTCTTTCTATTTTTTAATGAATTTCAATCCTATAATATCTTTACTGTACTAGAAATTGCAAGTGAAGTGCTGCGAAGTACAACTGCATATAAATGTTCTTCGAACAAAATTATTTATGCGAGTCAAGTGAAAATAATGAATAATAAAAATATAACAAATAATATGAGACATGACCCATTGTCTATATTAGAACACTGACAAGCTGACGAAGAAACATAGTAAAAACGAGCGTTGGTACAGGGTATGCCAGTCTACAACAAGCGTCGCCTAAATGTAATAATTAGCACACTGAAATAGGCTAGTAAGTAAGTTTAACTGGGTTCCTAAATAATATTGGCCTGAAAATATTGTGGCTGAGACATGGGCCGATTAAACATAGAAATAGGAAACCTAGAAATATAGTAAAAACGCTGAATAGTAATACTCGAGCATCGCCACATGCGGACGTTGGTACGTGTAAGTTAGTCTACAAACCAGGGGCGGATTTAGGGTGGGGCCCGGCCCGGCCCCCACCCCCCTTTTGGTAGGTAAAAAAAGAAAAAAAGAAAAAAATGATAGCCCACAACGCCTCAAATGTTATTTTCGGGCATCTAGAACACAAAAATTTCGCGGAGGGCATGCCCCCGGAACCCCTAGGACAATGTTGTCTCGATCGGCCCAAATTTCGGCCCCCCCCCCCCTTTTGGACATCTCTGGATCCGCCCCTGCAAACGTCTCCTAAAGTAATTGATTTTACCCGGCAGAACGAAA